CTTGCTAACTCATAGTGAACTGTTGTTTATTGAATTAATCCATTTTAAAAGTTTGCATTACTTACTAAACCATAAAATAAATTTATGTTAGGGTTCAGATGTAGTTCAATGATTGTGAGCACTCAGGAAAAATTAACCTGGGCAAAATAGCCCAGTGGTCTTGGAATGATAAAGCAGTTTATGAAATTATCAAATGAGCTAATGTAAAATATAGAGCCTTTATTATTTTATATGGGTTTATTTAAGCATGTATCTATTATACATGAGTTAGCAGCAGTCTCATTGCTGTACCAATCTTCAATTGGACACAATTCCTGCTACATCCTAAGGATTGTATAGAACAGAACAGAACAGAACAGAACAGAACAGAACAGAATAGAATAGAATATTGGCCAACTGTGATTGGACACACAAGGAATTTGTCTCCAGTGCATAAGCTCTCAGTGTACATACAAGCAACAGGTGATAAATCATGATCATAATCATAATAAAAATACATTCATCATAAACCATAAGATATAACACTTAGTGATAGTCATAGGATACTAAATAAACAAACAACATAAATCATACTAAGATACTAAATAAAACAATTAATATAAATTGTAAGATACAAGCAACAAAGTTATAGTCATAAAAAGATAAGGATAGGTAATAGAAAAGATGAGAATAATAATAATAATATAACCTTACTAGGTTTAACAGTGTTGTGGGAATTAGTTGTTTAGCAGAGTAATGGCATGGGGGGGAAACGGTCCTTGTGTTTAGTTGTTCTGGTGTGCTCTGCCCTATAGCATCGTCTTGAGGGAAGAAGTTGAAATAGTTTATGTCCAGGATGTGAGAAGTCTGTATATATTTTCACAGCCCTCTTTCTTGCTTGTGCAGTATACAAGTCCGCAATGGAATGCAGGCTGGTAGCAATTGTGGGTTTTTTTTGTTTTTGTTTTTGTCAGTTTTAACTATCTGTTGAAGTTTGTGTCTGTCTTGTTTGGTTGCAGTGCCAAACTAGACAGTTACAGAGGTGCAAATGACAGACTCAGTAATTCCTTTGTAGAACTGTATCAGCAGCTCCTTGGGCAGTCTGAGCTTTCTGAGTTGGCGCAGGAAAAACATTCTTTGTTGTGCTTTTTTAATGACATTTTTGATGTTAGATGTCCATTTTAAGTCTTGAGATATTGTAGAATCTAGAAACTTGAAGGTCTCTACTGTTGATACTGTGTTGTCTAGTATTGTAGGAAATGGTAGAGGTGGTAGAATAGGGGGGTTTCTCTTAAAATTCTAAAATCTCCTAAAATCTACTATCATTTCTACAGTTTTGAGTGTATGCATATTCATCATTGTCTCAAATGAGATCAATCACTGTTTTATATCTGCAAACTTCAGTACTTTAACAGAGGGATCCTTTGAGATGCAGTTGTTGGTATAGAGAGAAAAGAGAAGTGAAGAGAGCACACAGCCCTGGGGGCTCCAGTGCTAATTGTACGGTATCTGTTAAGATTTTGCCTAGTTTTACCTGCTGCTTCCTGTCTGTTAGAAAGTTTATGATACTGTTAAACTAGTAATTAACTAAGATACACAGTTATCAACTGCTAAGTGATTAGAAAACAATTTGATACATCAATTGCCTTCCAAAAGACATACATAAGGGATTCTTGTATGGCTTTTAATGTGGGTTAATTGTACATGTACTCAAAAGGAATGCCCAAGAGTTGAATAGCTTGTCATATTTTACAAATCATTTGTACAATTTGCAAACAGGAAACTAGCAATAAGAGAAGCTTGCACACTGATGCATATCACTAAGTTATTTTCCTGAAAATGAACTGAACATCAAAGAACTCAGAGAAATCTCCATGTGAGGCAATTGTAATAGTTAACATTAGAAAAAAGTGTTTTGCAAAAAAGGAAGGAAAATGTGTAGGGTATGACTTCTGGAATTCTTCCAACCTTTTAATAATAAATAGATCCATTCTGGGTCATGTGAGTGGGAAGGAAGGGGTTTAGAATGAAGAAATCACCAACAAGCTCTGCCCTATTTCCCCTTTGCAGACTTGCTGATTCTTCCCATATTTGAACTTGATTTTTCCTTTGCCAATTTCTCTTCTCCAGGCCAAATTTGGTTCACTTCTGTTTATTTTCCAGAGAATTATTCTACTGATGAAAAGATAGACATACTACAAAAAAACTACACATGTAATATTGGTTATTTTTGAGAACTGAGAATGTCCATGAGATTTTGTATGAATTTGAGGCTGTTTTTAGGGAAAATTGTTAACATTCCCAAACAACCGCATAATTAACTTTTTCAAGGTCAAGGAATTTACATTAATAACAGTCATATTTTTGAGGTTACTTTTAAAAGTCTTGTTTTAGTCTATCATTTACCTGTGAATTAAAGATTCACATTTACTTATAAAATGTTGGATTTGGACCATTGCACTCTTTTACAGTGATTCTATTTCTTCATAAGGGAGTGATTCAAATTATTAATAATAGGGAGAGATAGGTTTCCATTTGACTTGAAAAATGTTGCTAAACTTTGAAATTGGCAGAATTTAATCTGGATATTATTTATTTATTTATTTATTAAACTTCTTAACCATCCATCTCACTCATGTAGGGGCTCTATTTTCCAGACATATTTTCCAAACATATAATTTCTCCAAATTTTCCAGTCTTTTAGGAGCAGCTGATATTGATAAAACTGTCCCCATTCACATTTCTTATGCTAGAATGTAGGACATTTGGAAATAAAATCATAGTTCTAAATCATAGAAAGTCATAGAAAGTGAATCATAGAAAGTAACACACCTCAAATTGTTTCAGTTATTTTAATTACTCTTCCAATTAAACACAGAGTGTCTCAATTGATAACGGAACTGCTGGAGGTGAAGAACAGGATGTCTGCACCTTAAAATTTTATAAAATAAAATTTATAAATTATAAAAAAATTATACATTCCCTTTATAGAAAAACTTGTATAACGACCTATAGTAACTGAAATATCTTCTCTATAGCTGTTGAATATGCAAGAGCCCTGAAATCTCTTATTGTATATTTATTAGCTTTAATTCATAGATGGGACCAAATAATGAATGCTGTTAATCTGGGGTATCTGTGGGTATCAAGAGACTGTCAACACTGACAGAATCAAAGCCCACTATAGATGTTTCTACTGTTCAGCAGAAGCTGGAAAGCAAGAGATACTATAACCCTACCCTTATGTTTGTTTGAATACATCAGTTAAAAAAAGGAAGGACTTATGTTTTAAAATGACGTCAAGTTTGGTGAATGAGCACTCTCCTTCTGAATGTTATCCATCCCTCATTGAGTCAACCAAACATTATATGCATATGCTGTGCCTATTAGCAACACTTACCTTGCCTCCGTTAATGAGTTTTGGGCTCTCTATTGAATGGTTTTGTCTTGGTTTGGCATGTGCAGCACATGATAAGCAAAGCAATTGTTTGATTCCTCCTACTTTGCAGTCTTGCCTCTTCTGTGTATGAACAATGAGTGGGAAAAATCTTCCTATCACGGTGCTTTGGCAGGAATGGAAAGATTCTGGCTGCAAGATTCTGTCACTCATCTCTAAGTGCTTAAGCTCCAAGCCATCATAACCCCTCCAAAAAATTGGAGTCATAAAGGAGTTGCATTACAAGACTATTTAGGATCCCCACCCCCATCCTATATGCAACAAATACTGGTTTCCACATTGTTTGGTCCTCTTCTTATTGCACTATTTCCACGTTGAGCTAACCACTCAGGCCACAGAGCTAGAGCATGTGCAATACTACTGGCTGAGCAATCAATTGTTAATACATGTTCTGACAGACCATTGGCCTGAGCCTGCTGTGTCCAGCTCTTTTAGGAGAGAAAGAGAATGTTGGCAGATGAGGCTAGCTAGGAACATGAGGGGAAGGGCATGTCCACATTAGCTTGAAGCAGCCTTTAGGCTCAGCTCTGTTATCACACAGTGCTGGTCCCCTGATTTCTGCTTCAGCATAATGGATGACAGGTCTTAAGTTTATACATTTCTTGGCTGCCTTTGGATGCTATTGGCTTGTGATGGAAACATTAATACCGATACACTAAAAAACAATCTAAGATTGTTTCAGTCAAGGAATAGAAATATTGCACCGTAATTGTAAATGTTAAGTTTATTCTTCTAAATAAAATCCAAGAAATGCATAGGACTTGTTTATGAATCAATACCCAAAGTGTTAGGCTGTTCAGCATTACAGATGTCCATTTTTTCCCCAAGGAAAAAAATTGGACTCACCTCTATAAGGAATTTCTGGTGTCACTTGATCTTAATGAAAACAAGTATCTATCCCATTACAATTAATAGCAGAATTACTTTTTGGGGATGTATTTACCAGGGCTTTCAGCAATAATTTTCCCATTTTCAAATTTTCTTCAAAATGAAAGTGTATATGACTGGGCACTGTTGAAATACAGCCTAGACAGTAGTTAAGTTTGTATAGATTTTTGCAAAACAAATTCATGAAATAGGTTGCATACAGATACATATACAAATAAAATAATTGTTCTATTGCATTAGGATTTAACAAAAACATAGCTCGTTACTTCTCTTCTCCCCAAATACCTAATGCTTCTGATTCAAGTGTTTGATTATAGATAAGGCAGAACATCCAGACAGCAGAGAAATGAAACACTAGCTGATGGAGAGGGTGGAAAATGAGCTGTGTGATTTTTCTAACTCTAATAACTCCTTCTCCCCAGAAATAGCATCCTTTAGAAACCTCGGTAATATCACAGCCAAACCTGAATATCATCCAAGGCATCTACCGTTGTTTGTACAGTTTCCAATATCTACATACATAAGGAATGCATACGTATCATAAGCAAGGGGAAATAATGCACGAATTCCTAAGGACCACAAGTGAGGATACTTAAAGAGTTCACACAAACAGCTAATCATCTTTTATGCTTTATTGTATTTTATGTATATGTGTGCCCAGATCAGAGAGGCTCTAAATGAACTGTGCGCGGTAGAAGAACTAGTAACGCCGCAACTTCCTCTTCGAGTCGGATTTTTTGCAAATGATTATTATTTTTTTAACCAACTTCCTTCCTGCTTTTAACTGCCAACGCTGAGACAGAAAGGAACCCCGGACGCAGCCGCCAGCAAGTAAGTACCAGGAGGGCAAGTGGAAGAAGAGGCGAAAAGCGACGTCTCCCGTCGCTCCCGATGGGGGGAGGCTCTTGAAGCCCCCTGGAAGGATTCCTTCAAGCCGGGGACGCCGGGCAGAAAAGGTGGCTCTCTAGAGAGCAAAGGGGAAGCGGGGGGGGGGGGGGAGGTTAGGAGAAGCAACGCCTTCAGGGCGATGGCTCTGCAATGCAGGGAAAGCCTCAGCACGATCCAATGCTGGGAGGGGGTCACTTCTTGGAGACACGGCCGAAGGAAGATTACAAAAAGCACTGCTTGGCGTCTTTGCTGCAAGAAACTGATGAATTTTGCTTGCTCCACAATTTGGGGGCGAGAGGAGGGGAAAGGAGCAGTCCTTGCCCAGAGAAAATTCCATTGCGCATCCTGTTCCGTCGTTCCTATAGACTGAATGTTTCTATTTTTCCATTATTTTATAGATATTCAGTGAACATTAGTGTGGGCTAATGATGGGTGGTCTGGTGACCTTTGAATTTTTGGTGCTGCAGCTCCCCTAGTCCTGCAGTCAGCAAGCACCCAGGAAACACCAGAACAAATAACCTAGAGTTAGGGGCTGAGAAATTTGCCAACCTATTGCCTATTCTTATCTGACTTTCAGACAGGAAGCAGCAACTGCTTGTTGGCTGCAAAGGGTAAGGGTGTGGCTGACTTCCTATAGCATTCTTAACCAAAATGTCTAGTTAGCAAGTGCCTGCTGCCTCCTCATCCTTTCTCCCCTTCATGCTTGGCATGCAGTGACAGCCAAATCTGAAGCAACTGCATTTTTGGATGAGGTGTACTATAATTTATCACCAATAGTGATAACGATAATAAATTCTATGTCTGAGAAGCTCCAAATGGCATCTAATGTAAGCTCAGATGACATAATAAGCTTAAGAGCATTAGTAGGAAGGTGATGGAGCAAGCTCCTTAACTGGGCTTATTGACTGACAGTAAGGACACTGTTTTCTGTGGAAGATTTTAACTTCTGTAGTTTAGGAGATGTGCTGACTCCTGACAGTTCACAGATGTTAGTTACAGGACAAATATGTGGATTCTGGACTAACCTGTAACTTTTGTAAGAACTCTTTTGCTCCCAAATGCTAGCTAGTTTGCATGTTACTTCAGATCCTTTAATTTAAGAAATTGCTTCCTTCATAAAAATGGGCTATGTGCAATCCATATCATAAATCCTAAACCCTGTTGGTTTTTAGCCATTCTTGGATGCAATCTGTTTCCAAGAGATCCCAAGGTACCCTGCTTGTACCAGCTGTCCCAAAATCCTCCATAATTAAAATGAGATCACTGGGGGATCAATAGCTGTCTGTACTATCTGAGGCACAGTTAGCTCCTTAATATTTCTTGTCATTCTTTACATTTTAATGATCTATCTATCGGACAATCCCATCTCTCTCTGCAATATCTGCCTCAGATTAACAGGAACCTCATTTGCATATCTTCTGAACCATTCTTACAATTAAAAATGAGTTTTTTAATAAACTGACTTTGGACTGTAAGGAAATATGAGAGCTCAGATTTGTATTTTCTTGAGATCAGAACAGGTTCTTCAGAACCTGGTTGGGCATCACTCTGTTATGTTGAGCAAGCCATAACACCATATTAGGTCTATTTGAATGAAAAACAAATCTCTTATGTTCATTTAAGGTGAAGCTGGAGGATTATAATGGTTGGAGTTTTATACTAAGTTAGCTACTATCATATGCTGGTAAAGAATCTGAGGTCCAAACTGTTGCTATTGAATTACAACTTTCAGCATCCTGCAGGTTGCTGAATTTGCATTTATCTGCAAGCTTGAGAACTTTTATTTTTAGCTTAGATTAGTTAGTTTGTATTGCTTGAATCTGACAAATTAAGGATTCAAACAAACCAACTTCTTACTATGATTCATGAATAACCCTTGCTTTAAACTAGCCATAATTCAAATTATGATCTGTACTGAAAAATATCCACATCCAAACATACATTAGAGCAGGGGGCCCCAACCCTGGACTGCAGAGCCAGAAAGGTTGGGGACCACTGCAATAGAGCCAGAAAGATTTGTGGATTGGTAGTGGCGGCGGCAGCAGCAGGGGGGGGGAAGGGGATGGTTTTGCACCCATGTGCCCACTGCTTGCACAAAGGGAGCATGCTCACCTGCTGCTTGCGCGTTCTGGTTCCCAATGGGCTGCAGCCTGGTAAATTCAAATAAATACATTTTGTTTTTCTGAGCAAAATAGGTTGCCTGCCCTATTGTGCCTTTATGTATTATTCCTGTTATCCATGCAAGGGCATGAAAGATTAGCAAAAATTTATGCCATTCTTTATCACTGCATGCATGAATTTTGGCAACCCTGATGCATCTGGAACATATGAAGTTGGGGGGTATTAGAACAGAGCATCTGTTCTTGAGCCAAATGTCATATATCTCCTCTATTGTAATTGTTCAAGAACTCAGATTAAAAACAAGAGCAACATGATATTGTCTACCATGGATTAGCAATAATTTTCTACTCAGCTTTTTATGTTTTTTACTTTGTATTTTGTTTATCCTTCCTTGGCCAAGAACCTAACAGCAGAGTGATTCTTCTAGTGCTGAAAAGGGAATTTTATTTTAAGTCCTTCTTGAGCGTATTGCTTACTGAATTTTGTTTCGGATCCCTCAATTTCAGAGAAGTTTCAGTGTTAGAGATTGTGGTAGCTCCTTGGAGTCTATAGCCAGGGCATGGGTTGTCATAGGAACAAGGCACATGTTTCTTTCCTACATAAAAAGGGGACCTGGTCACCATACAGACAACAGCTATTTTAAATATTGTGCAGTTGGGAAATTATATGATATTTGCAATTGGACTGATCAGCTTTAAAAAAAACTGTTAATAAGCTCCATTCAGGTATTTTTCTTCATTGTCTGCTTTTGATGCAAATCTCTGTATGTTACTGCATGAACTATTTGATTTATTTCTATTGCTGTCATATCAATGGTTTGTTCAGTAATGTGGCTGCTACGGCTTCTGAAGGTCATTTGTCTTTGTCAATGTGATACAAAGAGGTTCTTTAATCAGAGGGTTTGCTGGTCATCCTGGAAGCAGTATGAAGTATTTTGTTACCGATACAAATAATAAGGTTATGTACTTATTTTTCTGCTCCAGAACTTCAAGCCCAGCATACTACATATATTTCAAAAATGTGACTGAATCTAGTTGCAGTCCTTAGCCTCTAATTGTTTGGCTCATCAATTAATTGCTACCTCGCAGGGTGAATCCTCCTGTATGACCGTGTTTAGATTTATGTCATAAAGAGAAGGTGAGTACTGTATATTGTGGGAAGTAAATGAGTGCAAATTCACATTAACAGCCTTCTCCAGAATTCTCAGCCAGGAGAATTCCAGGAATATAGGAACTGAAATTCTGCACTTCTGGAGATACCAGATTGAGAAAGATGCCTTAGTGTGCATTCATGCATTGTTGTGTAAGATGAGGAAGAATAGCTCATATTCCAGAATTTGTATTTCACGGAGAACAGAGACTTCTTTCTTGGTTATTGTAGCATAAATATAGATGTTAAAAAATATTATCATGCTTTTACAGCAGCAGTTGGGACTCTGCTGCTCTTTCTGTTGATATATGTAGGTGTGAATGGTAAAAAGAAAGAGGTGGTGATGGATGTCCCTTAATTTGTGGTCCAGAGGTAGAGTCTTCCCTCATGAGCTGACCTTGATGCATGGATCTGGTACACTATTCTCAACCTAGAAAATGCTGGCTAGAGAATTCTGGGAATTAAAGTTCACACATCTTAAAATGGTTATAGCAATAGAAATAGCACTTAGACTTATATACCGCTTTACAGTGCTTTACAGCCCTATCTAAGCAGTTTAGAGAATCAGCATATTGCCACAACAATCTGGGTCCTCATTTTACTGACCTTGGAAGGATGGAAGGCTGAGTCAACCTTGAGCTAGTGAGAATCAAACCACCAAACTGCAGGCAGCCAGCAGTCAGCAGAAGTATTGCATTCTAATCTCTGCACCACCATGGCTCATATTTTATAGCTCATATTGGCTTTGTTAAGAGAACTCAGCATGTATAGTATTTTACATATATGTGTGTGTGTGTGTATATCTGTATGGGTAAACAGAAAGAAAGAGAATATAGTTTAAAAATTACCTTGCTGTAGTTATTGATTAAATCTATTTTTGGAAGTCAGGAATATCAGTGGCTGTTTCACTGGCCAGATCAGGTGCTTTTTTTTTGCTATGTCCCCCACCATTAAAGTGTTTGAGAGCTGGAATGATTGACAAATTCTGGGGATCAGTTCATGTTCTTTTATACTGCCAATGTCATGAATCTGGGATGAGCAAATACAGGTGAGAAGAATATTCAACAAAGTAGCTCTTCTTGGTCCAATAGTTAAGAGGGATTATATCCTTCCATCTAGAAATAGCATCTCTCCTAACAGAAAAAAGCAGTCCATCTACTGGATATCTGAATTTGACAAATTAATGTATCTATTGGCAGGTTAAATGTCTTTGATACTTTTGCTTATGAAAATATTTAAATGGCTGTGCCTGTGACCATCACTCCCACAGTTGTTCTCTGTAGCAGAAACCAGCCAACCTTGTAATCAGTATCTTACTCGGTGCCCTTAACTGGCAAATCTTTCTTTTGAAGCCAACAGTCATGACTGAGAAAGACCCTGAGGTACATGTGGAAGAAGATGACGATGAGCTAGACAATAAACTAAACTACAAGCCTCCACCTCAAAAGACACTTCAGGAATTACAGGAGCTGGACAAAGATGATGAAAGCCTTGCAAAATACAAGAAATCTTTGCTGGGGGATGCACCAGTGGTTGCAGGTACAGCTGGAAAAAGGTCTTGGTCCTTTGGAAGAACCATTTTTGGGGGCAGAAAAAAAGGCAGTATTTGTATTTGCTTTGTAATGGGGTTAATATTGTTAATGGTGGAGAGCATTAAATTTGATCCTAAAAATGAAAGAGAAAAGATTATTTATTAATTTCTGTACTGCCCTTCCTACTGATAAAGCGACTCCAAGTGGCTGTATTACGTTGATCTGAGTATATTTTTACCATTATTGAAGATCAACTTTCAAAGTTTCTTTTAGATGACATGGATTCTATTTTCATTATGCAAGTCTACTTCTGTCATCTTAGTTGGGTGGAGGACTTCGCTATTCAGCACAGGAGCAAGAACATAGCTTAAAAAGATCAAACCAGAAATGTTGAGAGAGGCTTCTAGACAAGTTCTGGAGTAAAGCTTCCAGTCAAGTTGACAACAATGCTAGGTAGACTCTTATTGGTGTATTTCTTAGCATATGAAGAAATTAGTTGAGACATATTTATATTATTTATACTTGAAGTTAGCAACAAAACCTGAAGCATTATTTAGTTACTGCACATGGTCTATTTCAGCAAAGATAATTCATGCAACTCATATAATATTTGGTTATGTTGACTGCTACTTAGTTGATTCCATTTATTCTTGGAAGGTATTTGATTATTCTTGGCAACTATTTTACACTGTGTCATATTATTTATGTTTTTAATTATTGGTTGTGTTTTTATTCAGCTTTTATTTTGTTTTAAATTGTTACAATTGTCTTGTAAATTTATTAAAGAAACAAACTAGAAGAGAGGTATTGTTATTGTCCTCTATGGAGGGTGTGAGTGGGAACAGTGAGGTATGATTGAATTTCCCTGCATGACAGAAACTAATAATGTATCAGAAAAAAAGTTTATCTTAGTTATTAAGTGATGTGCTAATTTCCTGTGCACTTGAAGGCTTTATGAAGATAATTTTTGCATTAAAAAGACAAGGAAGTACCTCTGGTTTCTCAATTTTTGGTTAATAAACCTTTTGTCCTTTTCCTGATACCACAGACCCAACACTTCCAAATGTGACCGTCACTCGACTTACTCTTGTATGTGACACTGCTCCAGGACCAATCACCATGGACCTCACTGGTAGGAAACATTCTCTCCTCATTATATAGCAGGTTGAATGGAATTCCTGGGCCTTGCTTTATTTTGAATTTGATTTTGTGAATGTTGAGTTAAGTAGGATTGGGATGAATAACCTCTGAAGTATTAGATAGTGCAACTCAGTCCTCAACCTTTTGGAAGACTACTTAAGGTCAACTGGTTATTCAGTGATGTAACTTGAAGGAATGTGAGGTTCTTGTACAGTTGGAGGGAAGGAATTAAAAACGAGTGGGAGTGGGTAGCCTTCTGGCCTATATCATTCTTCTCCTTAAACCACTATCTAAAAATAGTCCAAAACTGAACTTGTGAATTTCAGATTTATTAGTTCAGTCCTTAAACCACCACATTTCATTGGCTCTGAGTGAACAACTCTTGTGGCAGTGACTTAAATCCATTATCAACCAGTTTAATTATGTTGGTCTTAGTAAACCTTTCTGTTTGTCTAGTTTATGTAATTATATAAGCTTCTAGCAGATGCCTCTGTATTCATTTCCTCATGACCAATTAAAAACACTAATTCTTCCATCTTTTCCTTACAAGGAAGGTGTTTCAAGCTTTTGATAATTTATATCAGTTGCAGATGGGCTGGGAGCAGAATGTGATGAATCTTAGAAATAGCTTATTGCCTGTTTCTTGATATTCCAGGTAGGAAAGGTTTTGAACAGGGGATTTCTGACTTTTAATCTGTCTAATGTCCTAATATTCTTATTTTCTCTGGTCACCATGAGTTATTTCCTATTTTTTTAAAGAATTAAAAGTAAAATTTAAAGGGAACTAACGAAGTGTAGGAGGTATCTAAGTAGAGGCTGGATGGCCATCTGTTAGAGATGTTAAAGCTGCATTTTTCATAAAGATCCTACACTCAGCTGAGGATTACATAAGATGATCTATGGGGCTCTTTCCAACTTTAGAATCCTTAATGGATGGTGTGTCTGTGGTGGTTGACCAGCTAGTCTGGGATTAGTTGGAATTAGTTGGTGACACATGGTTGTTGGATGGGATGGGATGGGATCCATCAATCTGGGAAAAAGAGACAGGGTTTGGATTATGTTGACTTGTTTGGAGTGTAGTGGCAGACAGTAACATCTTAGTAGAGATGGGGAGAGGGAGATAAGGTAGAAAGCAGGGTGGGCCACTCTCTGGGAAAGTGTACTTAGTGGCTAGTACCAATACTGCTTTTTAGCCTCCTTGGCTTAGCTCCCATGCCAAGATATTAAGTGCTCAAGCCGTTGCTGCTTAATGCCAGGTCAGCCTGGTATTAATGAAAGCTCTTATGAGAGCCAACCTCGTATGTATTACTGAGACTTAGTGGGTGAGAATGGGGCTCTTAGAAATGTTTCCAATTGGACCTGGGGTGTGGCACCAGCTACATCTTCAAGGCAGGGATAGGAGGATGGATATTGCTGTCTGGAAATCTCTTGTGGCTTTCAGAGGCAGTTTTCTATAGATGTTTGTGTAGCTGGTTCCAAAGAACAGATGGGATTGCTGCTGCCAGCCTCTTTGCTGTGTTATGGCTTTCTCTTCTGAGCTGCATGATACTTTGACAGGGTTTGGAGTTTCCTAGACCTATGGTACTGGAAAACTTCCCTCAGCTTTCCCTGAATGCAGTGTGTGGCTTAGGAGCTCATGTCCACCTTAGGAACTTCCCCAGGAATTCTCTAAAAACCACTGGTCTGCCTCAGGCATCTTTTGGACCCCATTGGCTTTCAGACAATGTCTGGAGAAGTTCGTAAGGCTCTAATACCCAATTCAACCTTAGTCTCCTCTTGGAATGAGAGGATGTCTTTAGTATTGGATTGGTCTTTATATGTACCTGTGGCCTCTCTGTGTACATGAATCCTGGAGGGATCCCCTGGTTTTCAGAGGAGCTCTGGAGGATAAAATGGCAAAAGAGTTTAAACCTGTTAATCCCAAGAAAGATGGCAGGTTTCTTTGGAGCTCTTAGTGTGGCTACATGATTATTAGATCAAGGCTTCTTGGGAGATGTCATATGGCTGAGTTCAGGGGTGATTAATACTTGAGTGAGGGGTTGTCCCTTTGCTCTTAAGGAAACAATAGTCTGCTCTTCCCCCAAAAGCTATTGCTTTACAGTGTTGGCTAATTTTTGATCTATTTCCAAATCTTCTATGGAAGGATTGGTGAGGAGGTATTTGGCTGCAGCTTTAGAGGGAGAAATGGATTATCTTTCTGTCTGGATTAGGCCTAAGTTGCTTGTGGATGACCTGTGGTGAGACCAGGATGGGCATAGTGGGGGTGGTGTGCCCATCCTGGCTATCCTTAATCTCTCAGCAGCTTTGGCATCATGGATTAAGGTATCATTCTAGGCTGGGATTGGGAGAAATAGTGTTCTGCAATGGTTTTCCTCCTTCCCCGGGGCCAGTTCCAATTAATGTTGATGGGGGGAAGAGGTCTAGCCCTTGACCCCTGTTGGAGATGAGGTGCTTCGTGGCTCAGTTCTCTCCCTGCTTTTGTATGACATCTACATGAGGCTCTGGATTATGTCATCCTTTGGCATAGAGTAAGATACTGCCCATATGCGTATAATATCAATTATACATCTCAGCCTCTAGTTGCTCAAGCAATATTATCAAGTCACTGACAGTGTCTAGAAGTTCTGGGATCTGTATGGGGAGGAACAGATTCAACTTCAATCCTAAACAAGACCATGTGGGTGAAGATGTTGAGGCTTGATGAACCTGGAGATCTTTCACCTTTAGTTCTGAATGGGATTGCTTTCTGCCAGGCGGACCCAGTGTTCAGACTAGGAACCCTTAAGCTCATGACATCCATTGAAGAGAAGTTGGAAATCATGATTGAAAGGCCCTTTGCAGAAATCTATCTTGCCCAATTCATGCCTTCATCACCTCTTCTTTGGATTAGTTGTGTGGTTGCCCTTGAAATCTACTCTGAAGCTAATAGCTGGTCCAGAATGTAATGTCATGGGCTCATCGTTGTATACCTACATTATACTGTTATTTTATGATCTGCATTGGTTGTCAATAAGCTTCTGGATACAACTCAATGAGCTGGTTATCACTGGCAAAGCTCTTAATGGAATAGGGCCTAGTTATTTATGGAACCACTTGTCTCTGGTTATCTCTACTTGTTTTGATAAGCTCTAACAGAGTTGACATGCTCCATATCCCTTGAGAAATGTTATAAAAACTGGATAGCTCTCATCCTTGCTTCTTTTTGTAAGACCTTGAAGATTTAGCTTTTCTTCCAGACACTGGATCAGGTGGTTTTGTGAATCTGTCTGGAGAGTTTATCTTTGATTGTTCAATTGCCTCTGGCATAATAAATATTTTATAGCATTATTGTTATTTTAATTATACACCCCTGTATGTTGAGAGAGCATGTAATATAAATTAGCTAAATAACTAAAATATAGTGGTAGGATATAGTCAATCTTCTCACAGCTCAAGTTTTTAATGCGTTCAAGTACAGCCAGAAGACTGCCTGCTTTAAATCTCTTCATTGTTGGCACAGCATCAGGACAATAATTCCTTCTGCATACTTGAGTAACAATCTGTGTTCCTAGGAGTTTAATATCAGCAAGAAGTAGTCACAGTTTGCCTTATATGGATTCTTGCTTGATAAGAGAGGAAGTCATGGCTTAGCAAAGCACAGATGCTTCCTCTGTAACCGAAATCTCCAGGGGAAGCAAGTCCACAAATGGTTTGTTGATAAATGCATTATACAATCTGTGTGAATGCTGCTAGCTTTCACTTACACAAATATGCATGCTGATAGCTATGCAAGAATATTTCCAGTGCATAGTTTTTTTTTAGTTAATTGGAATGACACAAGTGTGCTCATATGCACAAATTCACAGGTATAGATATTTCTGGCTCATTAATGCATGCATTTTCACATTTTATGTTCATTGTCAAGATACTTACTGCATACTTATTTGATACATCTAAAGAGCATGTTTAATAAATTAAATATAAAAAGGGACTTCTGTTTCCTTGGAAAAACACTATGTTACAGTGAAAGAGTAGGGAGATAGAACTAAGAAACCTCCATCTCTTTTCATGTAATTTCTAGATTTCTTTGAGGGAAGTTATTTTCTTTGTTTGTTTATTTTTAAACTACCATATCCTGCTTAAAACAAGCATAATACTAACATATATTTGCAACACAGATATACTTATATGCAACACAGATATACTTATATGCTGGAGCTGGCTTATATTGGCTTGCAAGAATTGATTTTCTGGAATTTTGCCAGAAAATGGTTGAGAGCAGAGCTGAGCTACCGTACCTAGTGTGCCTATTAGCTATTTAGTAATAGCTGTGTGGTAGCAATGGAGCCAGCAGAGCCTTTTGTTAAATGTGTACAAGCACACCACTGCTTATGCATCTGTACGGTACGCCAGTGTACTTCAATCAAATGAATCCATGGGAAGAAAGCTGTTCTCTTCCACATCTTTTAACATGATTGATTGGCATTTTTCTCTGTTCCAGGGGACCTTGAAGCCCTGAAGAAAGAGACCTTTGTATTAAAAGAAGGAGCTGAATATAGAGTCAAGATCCACTTCAAAGTGAGTGACTTTCCTATAGAAATTTTCCAGAGCTGGATTCTATTCCATTCTGCATATCTTTATTGCAGCCTCTTACAGTGCAAATTGTACATTGCTGGTTCATAAATGTCACATATGTCAATTTAAATAATAAAGCATTAACCAAAATAAGAAGTTTACATTGTCTACAGGCAGAACAGTAGACTATTGCAGAAAGGAAAGTATTCCCAGTGAATCTTGTATTCTTTATTTTTTTTTTGGCTGGACTAATTATAATTACAAAAAAAAAATAAATTTAAATGAAGTTCCCTGAGGATGAGCTTCAGCACGAGTCTGAAAGCTTGGAAGATAAAATTCTCTGGTCCTGGTGACCCACCCAGATTGGATCCTGCAACATTATCCTGGGACACATATATTCGGCTTCATTCATTAAATGAAATAATAATACATTATTTTTACATTATGATATATTGTGCAACAAAACTGATAAAAAGGTTTTATTTTTTTCCTCATGCAACTTAATTAGAAACAGAAAAAAGAAACCTGAATTTGATTACTTTTCTTAAATGAGCTTTTTATTGTTTTAGCTTAATATATATAATTGTTTGAGTTACAAATCTATTAGTATATTTCAGAACAGTGTATCAGAACAAATACCATTATTAAGTGTATTGTCCCAAAATAGATTAGGTTTTTTTCCAAATGTATTTAGTCCTAAATATATCCAATTGCTGGTCTTTAAAAACCTGTTCATAATATGGCTTTCCCCAAAATCTTTATTTGATCACTAAAATGTAAAATGGTGCTTTTTAACAGATCTGGGCAAAATGCAGAAGTGGTTACACTGATAGGCTAATTTGCTAAAAACTGCTTTATTTCCTCTTTCTCTTAAGGAAGAGCAATCAAAATCAAACAAATATAACTAGTAATTGTGCTGGATGTAGAATTTCATTCCCACTGATGATTACATTAACTCAAATTCTAAATGTCTCACAAAGAGATATCAGCAGTTTCATTTGTTGCACAACATAAAAACTAGCTGAAGATTTGACATGACATGTTCAAGCTGCAGTGAGTAATCTATCTTAAATTGAACTATAGGCCTTTATGGTTGAGTGTATGAAGATGTGGGCTGTTAACTTTACCTTTTACTGTATTTTGAATTTAGGGTTTGATGGTTAATCACAGGAGCATCATAAACTGAAATAATAAATGAATAAATTATTTATTGTAGTGACAGAATGGTGTTTTCTTCCTACAGTATCCCAAAGTAAGGTTAGTGGAAACCTAAATTGAATTACCTCACTCAATGGGCTGTTTTTCTCTTACAGGTAAACAAAGATATTGTATCTGGTTTGAAATATGTCCAGAACACTTACCGGAAAGGAGTGAAAGGTGAATATATGAAATAATTTCTTCTCTTTTCTTTTCTCTTCCGTATTTGTAGATGATACTGCTATAAACATAGCCTTGGGTGTTTTTCAAAAATCACCTTGATGTGATTGTGCTGAATAGCTCACCTTTAAACTTTACAGATAAAGTGATCCTTTCCCTTTTTGTACAGTACAAATCTTGCAAAAATCCTTTGCCTCTAAGTTGTAATACAGAGACTATCTATAGCAGTGATGGCGAAAATTTTAGAGACCAAGTGCCCAAACTGCAACCCAAAACCCACTTATTTATCACCGGGTGCCAGGTGGGCGTGGCTCACTGGGTGGGCGTGGCTGTGGTGGTCATGGCAGATTGGGTGAGTGTGGCCAAGGTGGGCGTGATCACCGTGATGTTGCTTGTGGGGAGGGATGCCTGTGGGGGCCGGGCAGGGTGGGGGGAGATCCAGGGGTCTCTGGCAGGTGGGGCGGTGGGCAGGAGGCTTGTCCTGCGGGGTCAGGCGAGGCAAGGTGAGGCAGGGGCTGGGGCGGCTGCTGCCTGACACCATTGGCCCCTACACACAGAGGCCAGCGAGCGCATGGGTGCTGGGATGCATTCAGCCATGTAGGACCTCGGTGAGTTAGCGAGTGGCTGGTTGAAGAGGGACAGTTGCTATCTCTGGGGCATGGCGTCCGTGCCTACAGAGAGGGCTCTGAGTGCCGCCTCTGGCACGTGTGCCATAGGTTCACCATCACTGATCTATAGGAGCAGAAATTGTTCTGTTGATATTTCTATTTGCATGGTAAACACTGGGCATATAGCTAATTGCCTGAAAACCTCCTTTTCTATAGACATTTGTATGGTATTCTTAGACATCAGAGAGAAAATTCTCTTATATGTATAATATCAGAGAACTTGAGCTAACCTGAGCTGTCTCTTCTATCCTAATTTTAATTGCCCCAAAGTCAGTCCTTCCTCCCTCCCTCCCTATATAAAACTGTCAGAAAAAATTGTTAAGAGGCTTATAGAGCTTACAATAAGATTTAAAACAATACATTGTATCAACAAAAAAGAAATTACAAAAAAGAAAAATATTTCAATAAACCTTCACCCCAAAGGAATAATCAAGCAGAAAACACATTCTCAAAACTGGAAATTCTTCATTCATAGCAAATCCATTCTCATGACCCTTTAAAACAGTCACGTTTTAATGACTTTCTGAAGAAACAACAATCTGATCACTAGGGAAATTGAAGGAGGTTGTAAATCTATGTGAGAACATTGAAATATGGAAACATTTAATAATCTTGTAGAATTTGGGACATTTTTACTGCATTTTGGAGTTTAGGGGATGCTATTGTTGTTATTCTCTATTTTATAGAGAATATAAATTAAAATTTGTTCCAAATTCCTTTCTGGGATAGTTTCTGTGTGTGAGTTGCAGTAGCAGCTGCAAATAACTCTACCGAAGGCTAATATGACCTGAATTTAATCCAGGTGATGGAGAACTGCAGTCAATATTACATTAAATGTTTGCATTGCGATTTAAAATAATTTGTGTTTTGTGTTCTATCCTATTCTGTCCTACCTCCTGATACACTGATTTTCCACTGATTTTCTATGGCTTGTTTTTTCCTAGTGGATAAGGCTGTATTCATGGTAGGCAGCTATGGGCCACGGCCAGAAGAGTATGAATTCATGACACCTCTTGAGGAAGCACCAAAGGGCCTGGTGGCCCGAGGAAACTACTGCAATAAGTCTCTCTTCACTGATGATGATAAGCACAACCATCTCACCTGGGAATGGAACTTGGCTATTAAAAAGGAATGGACAGAGTGAATTTTACCTGGTTTTCTTTTTTTGCTTCTTCTGCTGCTTGTGCTTATTCCAAGTGTGTCAGTTTCTGGCACATGCATGCCATGCTTCTTCCACATAACCCAACCCTTTTATTGTCAAAACGAATTTAGCCAATAGAGGCTATTGGAGAGACTCTGTCTCTCCTCCTGCTACCTTGAAAATAATCACACAAAAACCAACAGGGACAAAGCATTTCTCTTGTTGCACAGGATCAGTTCTTGAAGTGCCTTTGGTCAGAAGATACACAGTCACCAACTTAAGCCAATTGCTATCATGGCACATCAGTTGATTGAAAGAGAGTTGGCTTTGGAATTTCTCTTTCCCCCTGCCTTATATGAAAAGTTCTGTCAGCAGATAATGTCTTGTTTAAATCTGTTTCCCAGAATTGCATATGGAGTTGCCTTGTCTAGTAATATAAGATACAATTCCTGATCTGGTCTGTAAAGATAACAGTGTCTTTGAAAATAAAGCCAATTTTGTCCTTTGCTTCAGAGTAAGCTTCTTGTGTTTCTCACAATACATAGATTTATTTTGCCCTCTACACACAAGGGATATCAAACTTCAATTCTTGCCACACACCTCCCCTGCCCTCAGATCCAGGCACTTTAGTCTTCTTGCCTCATTTTAATAGTTTAAGGAATAAGCAGATCTCTAGTGATTAGGATTTTACAGAACATAATGGGTATTGCCCCTGGATCACTCTCAGGGTATTGTGAGAAGTAGATTGTACAGAGAAATAAGTTGGTTTGTCATCGGTGTATGGGTCTATTTTTTATTCTTTTATTTAAGATAGGTTTAGGCAGTACATTTTGGTGCCGGGGGGGGGGGACCTTTTTTAAAATGGCCAGTGACAACTCTGAAACTGTAGAGCTGAAATGTTTGGCTGGGAGTTTTCTTTGCAGGAGGCTAGTGCACCTGTGTAACATTCTCTCCTTTAAAATATGAACCATTTTGCCACAAAAAATCAACAGTTTGCTCTGGATTTTGAAGTTTGATCTTGGCTGTGCCTGAGAGACCTGCAAAATCAGGGAAGGGGATGCATGTGCCCCACCTCCCCCTGTTGCAACCTGGGAGGTAAGGTGAAACAAGAACTAGCTAAAGATTTAAGGCTACATTCAGAATCACAGAATTAAGGAACAAAATGAATAAGCAAACAACTTGAAGAATGTTCGCTTTACAAATGCTATTCTGCCTAATAGGCAGAAATTACTGGGATTCTGTAAGAGAAAGCACTGCTCATTTTATAGAAATCTAAAATACAACGATGGGAGATGGTGCAGGCAAAATGTGCATGAGATAAGAGAGGTTAAATAAATCAGCCACAAAACAATTTTTTAGGAAAAAGATTTTTTAGACTCTCTAAATTCCAGTCCATAAGATTTCTGGGTGATATTAGTAAAGGCCAGCAAACAAGTACAAATAACATCTGTGAAAATAGGACTGCAATATTTAACCAATTGAAAATATTTGTTTCAATTGAAAATATGTCTGTAATGAAATTGGTGATTTAATTTTTATAATTAAAGTAGTGCTATCTAGTTTCAAAGATAATGAAGTTCTAAAGATAATGTTTGACAACATGCTGGTATCTCTTCCTATGTAAGCTTCTTTGAGAAGGTTTCTTTACCCTTTCCCTTTCCTCTGTGTCTCACCAGGCACCAGTCAGTGGGCTGGAATTCTTGACAATATGAAGATTTATTCAATTCAAAATCTATAGTGATTTTTTAATTAAATGAACTCTTAAAAAACGGTTTTAATGCTAGCCAAGGATTCCTGGTTGTACAGAAATAAGCGGCAGAGTTCTGTTTATGTTAACTTACCTGAATGCTAGTATTTTTGCTTTTTATTTGCTAAGCTATGAAAATGGAGCTTATCTTACAATGGAATAATAAGATTTATTACATGAGAGGAAACATTTGGGAGTTCATGTCCCCACTAGTTTCTTATCAGAAGAAAAAAAAGGTACAGGTGGCCATTCCCAACTGTTTCACTCCCACAGCTTTTGGGAGCTGATTAAATGACAGTTTTCAAAGGTGTTTTTTCCTGTCTGAAACAGATGAACTGGCAAGGAGAAAAGAAGTCAGAGCAATGGAAAACTCCCTCTTGCATACATTTCTTTTCCTTAGTGGTGTGTTCCTGTTAGGATCTGGAGAGGAAAATTCTTCATCTGAAGGTAAGAAAACCTAAAAGTTTAGAAAAGGGGAAAGTGAATAGACCAAGAAACATCCAGTGGACAAGAAGAGCAACATCTAAATCAGCTTTCTGAAGCTGGTGCTGTTCAAAGATTAAACTAGAGTCCTGCCTTCATCACCTGCAGTAAGCATGGTTATACTAGCTTAGATTAAGGAAGGGAAACCTATCTGAGGGGTACTGTGGGAATGCTATTGTAGTAGGCAGCACACTCAACTCCTAGCTAAAACACAATTCTCTATACCCAAGAAAGTTAAGAAAATCTCAGGGAAAATCAGAAGCATGATTTTCCTAGGAAACCTTGAAAAAAGATTGCAGCACAGACTGGTCCCCTTCATTGGTATAATCACGTGGGATCACCATAAACCAAATTGCTATTTATTTCATTCCAAATTCCTGTTTATTACGAAATCACTCAAACAGCAGTCTCAGTTTTCATGGTCGGAAATAATACCATAAATCATAGTGAAGCAATTCATGCTTTGGTCTTGTATTGGAAAAAGAGTTCACAAAGAAGAATAATTCCAATTGCATAAAAGAAACACTAAGAGGAAATATATTTGTCATGGATAAGACTTGAAGCCTAAATGCAGTTAAGCCTCAGCTCCATCTGTCCCTTAAAAAACCAGATGGAACAAGCAGATTTCCCCATCTGAAAGTGGAATTTTAAACATCCGGTACCATGTCCAGGAATGCTGCCTGCTGCAACAGTTCTTGTTTCAAGGCAGGCTGGCACCAAAACCAGAAAAGGACATTTTTCTATTGGTTATGTTATTCCCAGACAGTGTTCAAATATGTGAAAGAACAATTTGTCCAGGTGAAGATTTGCTGCCAGGAATATTCAAAGCAGGTTGTTATGATAGTGGGCAGAAACTGGACCATAAAAAGATGCTGTCTAAACAGTACTTTCCTTCTATTTCCTCCAGGTACTATCAGAGAGGAAAGGGAGCCTGTGCTTCTGGAAGATATCCCAAGTACTGCAGCCTTCATTGATGGAGCTGAGGTGGCAGTTGTTGGATTCTTTCAGGTCTGTTGAAATGTAACAAGATACTGAGTGATTGGTTTGCATTATGGTTATTAGCTATGAATTGTAGCTTAGTACATTGTGCCAACTATGAAAAATGTGTTTGATTTCATAAACTATATTTAAGGGAACCATATTTAGCATGCTATATCACCCCCCCCAGAGATAGTTTATTTTGCATATAAGTCTCTTATAATAATATATACTATATTGAAGAATATAGTATTAACAAATATAATTTACATTACAGTATGTATCTGGAAGCTTAAATACTAACAGCTTAGTAATTGGGGATCTGAGGCAGTGTTTCTCAATCTCAGAAACTTTAAATATTGGACTTCAATTCACCTATGCATCTTAAAGTTGCTGTGTTGAGAAACACTGATCTGAGGGACCATCTTTCTTGTGACCATATTTTGAAGTCTGCCAAAGGAGATTTTTGAAGATATTCTGGCTGGCCAGTTTCAGTTTTCAATCCCACAGAAAGGACTTTTTACTCATTGCTTTAAAAAAGAATCAAGATTTATCTTTTTAATTTAGACTTTTAAACAGTCCTTCCTATTTTAACATTGTTTTGAAAACAGCTTATTAACATTCTATATTATTATTTCTCTATACTGTTTGTAAGGAGTTAAAAATGCCACAGAAGTTTTTTAAACTGTTTGCTAATTGAGGAGCTCATTGTGGAAAGCTGGAAAGGTATATAATTAGCATGTTAGAGAATGCTGTGATATCAACTGATCTAGGAAAGATTCATCTGCCTGTTACAGGGACGCAAGACAAATCCAAGTTAAAAATTACAGTATTACAGCCATATTTTCCAACCTGCTACCCTCCAAGATGTACTAGGTCAAAAATATATGGAGGAAGGCTGCATTATTGAATCAGTGCCAAACTAATCCCAAGGGCATATAATATGCTTGTCTATTTTCTCAACATGTTTTCTGAAGGTTGTTTCTCATAATCAGAGCCAGCTGAGCACGTGATACCTTCCTGCAGCTGCCAGAGCTACAAGAGGGTTTCCCCCGCAGTCTCCTCAAAGGACATCAATAAATCCCATAACACATTATTGACTTACAACTCACAATCTCGATCCACATTGTTTGGGAATTATGAAAATTATAGTCCAGTTTATCAAACAGGTGTGAAGTTAAGGAAGGCCCATGTAAATTCTACCTACAAGAACGTGTGCACATTAGACATTTTACTACCATGGTTTTAAAATGGCAGAAACATGCTATTCTTTCCATAAAGATAATCCAAAACATTTTGCTATTTGAGGGGGAACCAGAATCCCCTTTCCTGTACCAAGCACATTATATCTGAATGTAGCTAAATAAAATTAACAGCAGCGATAAAATATCCCAAGAATGCTTCTCTCTAAAAATAAAAATACCACAACAATAATAAACAATTTGTAATAAACCAATATGCCAGTTTTAACTGTCTAAAGTATGCAGTTTTATTCTTATAAGAAAAAAATACATAAAATTACAAACGTAAAAGACCTTTCTGAAGTTTTGTGTATTTTAAGTGATCTTAAATGCATCTTTAATGGAGTCTGTGAAAATAAATAGCCACCAGATGTCAGCATTCTCCCCTTAAATTGCTGCTAAGTGTAAAAGTCATAGCCAAATTGGAAGAAATTCTTACCAAATTACAACTTTCATTTAGAATATGTCTTGCTTTCATTGTATGTTGTATTTTTTAAATAAATTCTGGTCCTCTCCATTTTGCCTTTCCTCTGCACCATCTTCCTATTCCTGTCCTCTTTTTGTTTTTTTCTATCTTTTTCTCCCATTACATCTCTGTAAAAGAATAGCCATCCTACTCAGAAATGCTGTAGGGAAACTGTAGCCCTTTAGATATTATTGAACCACAATTACCAAAATCCTACCATGATGGCCACTAGTAAAGAAGAAGCTGGGAGTTCTAATTCACCAACATCTGAGTCATCACACAGTCCTCTTTGTAATATAGGCCAGCCTTACTTAACAAATACAGTCAAGAGCTGGTTTATAACCAGTCTTGTCTCCTAACTGGCCCTCTGAAGAACCTCATATTGGGAAAGGCTGTTGCAGGTTGATGTTTCTTTGTCTCTTTCCATCATTCCCTGGAAGCTCTCTGTGTGTGTATATGTGTACATACACACACTATTTAAACTCTGTAACCTTTAACTGGGTGAAATGGTGCATCATAAGGAAGCAATTTTTGAATCAAGGTATATCAAATGGCTAACTACAGGATGTATCCAATGACCCAAAGGAACACAGATTGTCTAGTTGGCAATAATATCTTTGATGTGATGTGGGAATACAGGGACATTCTCATTTATTGTTTACTTTTAATCTATCTATCTATATCATCATCATCATCATCATCATCATCATCATCTATCTTTGTACCCTAACATAAAATAAAACTTGGTAAAGCCTCAAATGTACTTCTGTTTAATTTGCTTCTTGCTCTGGGAGCCGCAGTATTGAATGATAGTGGCAGATAAACCATTATTTAAATAATGCATTAAATTAAATTACATTTCTGAAGTGGGACCTGCTCTGTGATGGCAGAATTGCATTGCAGGAAAAGCTCTAAGAGAGTTTTTATACCTTTTCCTGTTCCTAGAATTATGAATGGGATAGCTCTGGGGATAAAAATCAATCTCTATATACATCATAGTGTCGCAAAATCTTTCTCAACTTGTTCACTATTTTTTTCAGGATTCAGAAAAACCCGAAGCTTTAAAGTTCCTTACCATGGTAAAAAATATACCAGATGTACCATTTGGGATCTGCACCAGTTCTCAAGTTCTTTCTCACTATAATATCACCAAAAATACCATCTCCCTCTTTCGTATGGTAGGTTTTGTTTTGCAGTTCTGCTTCTTTCTTGAATAATATCTAAATGCTATAGCTGCTAATAGGTATAAACTGGGACTTTTCTTTAGCCATGCTTATGGTATGTAGGAATCTATATGACATTCTAAAGTTTGGTTCATAAAACAAGCTTAAGTGAGTCAGTCGCAAGGATAATGTCTTGCAATTTGCTAATTCAACCAATTTTGGAGTAAGAACAAATTAGTTTTAACCCCAAATGATATTAGGACAATTTTTGTTTTATTTTTCTTCCATTAGATTCAGCTGTGCTGTATGAATTCAAAAACACAGTAGACTGTTGAGCATCCTGCTCAGGCAGTCATCAAAGGTAAAGTGAGGAAGTTGTGAAGAGTTGCCCAAACCACAAGATGCTCATTACAAAACTTATTGTTATATCCTGTTAACCATGGAACATGCCTTCTCAATACTGATGGTTTGCATCATGTCAATGGGGAATGAAAACTGGCATGACATAATGGTTAGGATGCTGGGCTAAGAATAGGGAAGTCCATGTTCTAGTCTTCCCTTTTGCACGGACACCAGATGGATGTCTATGGGCCAATCAAATCCCCAAAGTAGAATTAGACACTGTATCAAGTCATCTAAAAAACTAAACCTGTTGAGTACTATGCTATTTAGAACTAGATGGCTCAAATACAAAACAAGTAAACTCTACAATGAAGCAGAACAAATATTAAAAACAACAATATTATCAATGAAGATGCACTATTTACAGAACAAAAATTTGCCAGTGTTCTCCTGGCACAAGGACTTATGGGATAAAGGCAGGACTGAACATAGTTGATATGAACTCTTCGTTTACCCAAATCGCAACTTGAAATAAGTTTCCATGACTATGTGTTTCACTGATCATTGGCTGAAGCATGAATACAACCCAAGAGTACTTCCAGGGGGAAAACTCTAAGTGCAAACAATCAAAATACTCTGTAACTATCCCAGATGGCAGTGTTACAACTAAAGGATAACAATATTGTTTAGTCTGGTTTAAGATACCATAAATATGGCAAAGCAATTACCTCATTAAAACATCATCTGGATGCAGGCAGAGAGAGAAGTATGAAGAGATGTTTCCAAGAGTGGTAGAAACAAATTATCAACATATTGCATAGAAAAGATATCTAATGGGGATGCTTCTTTTAAAAACGAGAACTTCTCTCCTCAAAGTCAGTAGAATATTTTGGAATGAGTCTAACATTTAAAAAAGCAAGATCAAATGATATTAATTAGTACATATTTTTATAAATTTGGGTAACATACTTTTTTTTCAAAATTAAATAAAAGCAATAGCAATAGCACTTAGACTTATATACCACTTCACGGTGCTTTACAGCCCTCTCTAAGCCGCTTACAAAGTCAGTATATTGCCCCCAACAATCCTCATTTTACTGACCTCTGGAAAGATAGAAGGCTGAGATCAACCTTGGGCCTGGTGAGATTTGAAGGGCCGAACTGCTGGCAGCCAGCAATCAGCAGAAGTAATAATAGCATTTCTGCTGTGCTTATTCTCTATAATATGCTTGTTCATTGCCTTGCTGCCCCAAAATCCATGCATCCCCACTTTACCTTGGAGAATTTGTGCTTAGTTCCATCCCAGGAGAATTGTGCAAACTATATGGACATTATATACTTTATGAAGAAATAAATGATGTGCTTTATCAAACTTGGGCCCATGAAACACTTGGGCCCATGAAACAGCATATGATACCTTTTTTCCTAAATGTTCCCATTCAGAATTTGAAAAATGAACGCAAGAGAAATAGCAAGTTTGTTGAATGATTGGCTGAGTTACAGTGCTAGTATAATATTTAGTTATTTATTGTACTAGTATTCTAGCATACTTCTATATTATAAAACATCTTTTTTGATAGGTTTGGCATGAATTGTCTCTTCATTTACATATTTATGTATGTCTAAACATGCAAAAGCATTAAACAAGCCAGTTGCTTTTCTGTAATCTGAAAAGGCACCAGCTGGCTATCTATAAAAGGTTTTGTGGTTGAAACGATCCAATTCTAAAAAGTGCTCTTCCAACTGACTGTTTCTGTCTTAGCAGAAGTGTTCCAACATTATTCTGACTTTAATACCAACATTTCAGCCTCAGAATAGACCATTATGACAATATAGAAAGAAATGTTGAGGCAGTTGAACTGAAAATCAGAATACATCTGGTTGGGTTGGAGCAGTCCATTCCAGAGTTTTCACCATGAAACTTTTTGCATAGATTTACTTGAGAGTGATGTGTATTTATTATCTAATATGATTTATAATGATATATTTCCATTTGCATATTTTAGGGCCTTCACTCTATTTTGTTTCTCTACTATAAATCTTGATTTTTTTTTGTTTTTCTGTTTTTAACCTTAAGTAATACGGAGTTTAAAATAGGTAGAGAGTGAAAATAAAGCATCTATGACCACAATGAACTTACTACATCATTTCCTATTTGGTCAAGTAAAACACCACATGGCTGTGACATGATTTTACTTACGTATTCTCTATTTATCTGCTTGTTATAAGTCATTTGGGAAGCATTTTCTGTTTAGTGAATATAGTGTTTAGTGACAGAGTTGCTAGATCCAGGTGTAGTCACTAAGTGAAGACTTTGCTTGTTATGTAGAGATGGAGGGATAAATAACCAACTAACTGCTATATTGAACTACCTCTTCAAGGCTAACATATTAGCTGAAGGTAACAGGAATTAAAGTGCTATATAACTAGAAAACATCAGACTGGGGATAGCTCGGTAGATTATTAAACACTTTTGATGGCTTTTTGTTTAATACTTGACATTCTTTAGAGTTTCTGGATATATTAAGAGGATATGGAAGTACCAGAGTTTTGTGATCAAAAACTAACCACACTAATCCAGGCCTAATCCAATGACACTGGATGAGATATCGACCCTCTCCAAACAATTTTTTTAAGAAGATCTGTCTGAACATACATACCTGTATATATGTTGTTTCTCTCATATAGGAGAGTCTTTATGCACCAACAAAATATGTACAGCATTGGAATAGGGCTGATCTGTTTTTGTAGAAGTCATTCTACATTGTAGAGGCCATTCCAAATAAAGGCTTTCCCCACTGACTTTAATGGTTTCTGGAAGGATCTCAAGAGGTTATGTGTTCTGGCTTTCACTTGTTTTGCACCAGTTTAACAGTCCTTGTTTTTTATGGAATTACTTTTGGTTTCTTCCTCCACCAGTCAAAGAATAATTGACATTAACAGTTGCTTTGATATTTGAAGGCATATAGTAACAACAAAGTCAAAAGACTTTCTATAAGAAAAGACTGAGGCTGGTATTTCTGGGGAAAAGAACACATTTGCTTGGTGAATGTAATAGAACATAGTGATATGCATTGCCAAGGATCTCCCTCTTCCTCCCCTCTCTCCCTCATACAAATCATTCACTTATACTCTATATAGCCATGCATACATCAATAAGGAAATTTAACTGAGCATTGACTTAATCCTCTGGGATTTGCTGTTGAATTTTGTTACTTGCCTGTCTGTTTGGGGACTGTCAGTTAGATCCAGGAAGATATCAGTGGGAGATCTGTTCCCCAAAATGGAGTTTTTGGAGTCTGAATATTTTTCCTTGATCTTCTGGAAAAATGCCTGTATTTATTGGAGAGGATTCTTGCTTGCACAATGTTTCCAGGAAATCCATATATGCTTATGCCAGTGTTTATTAAGTCTAGAAGTAATGAAGTTAGCAGATGAACTTTTGCAAAAAATAGAAATTAGTTTTTTTAAAGATCTCATTACAAAAGTCGCACAACTGCTTAATATTTCACCTTATTATTTAGAATCTAGGATGGTTTAATTCAACTGCTAATAGTTCAGAAATTTGTTAGCTATTTCTCTAGCTAAACCAAAAAGCAAAGACTTTATAGTTTTAATTTTCTAGGATAGTCAGTACTATGAAAATCTTGAGCAAAAGCATAGTTTATATGTATATGAGATGGGAAATGAATGGAATGAGAAATTTGTTTGGAGAGAGGCAGAAGGCTAAAAATCTATGTAGAAAACATACTGTTCAGAAGTGGGGAAATAATGAAGGATTGGCTATCCTTTCTTGTTGCATTTGAAATGCTTTCTGCAAGTGTTTTAAAGAACAATGATGACTGAAGTGCAATAATGATAGCAAGATTATTTGCTTTAATTCAGGTGGATAACAAAAGGCAAGATTTGGAAATCCAGGACAGCAACAAAGTCGATGTTGACAAGTTGAGTCGCTTTGTCCGGATCAATGAACTCCGCTGGGTGACTGAGTACAACCCCATGGTAACAAAGGAATTTTCTAAAACCTAACTAGTACAGTTTATTTGACTGCTGAGTTTACAATGATTTATATAGGTTTGATTTATTCTTATAAGGAAAGATATATATTAGGAGGAGAGTTTTACTGTCAGATTATCTGTTACCCTAAATAATTCACAATGATATATGCTTGATGCATGTCATGTGAGCAGAAGGGGAGACCTCAGAGTTAGATTGAGCTCAGAATTAAGTTGACCCTACCAAGCCTTGCATGTGGCTTCCAGAAACCTCCAGAATTAATGACTTATAATTCTAAAAGAGAAACAACTGCAATAAGTATATTGAATTGTAATTAAATGCAAACATACATTTATTTTCTTTTGCTCCTTGCCCTAATGTCTTCTTTTTGAAATATGACCTGTAAGCAATGCCTTTCAAAAGCAAATTGCAGTCCTTGCTCTGGAAAAAGTTGCACAGGTGTAATTTAAGATTTATAATAGATATTTGCATTTCAACTCTGCATGTGAGGAATACATCTCTTGCTGAAATTTCTTTTTTGTCCCTGTTGTGGGTTAATAGTCAGAGCATTGCCTATGTCTGACTTTTGTAGTCTAGCTGTTTTCATGGAAAGAGAAATGGAGCTTTGAAACTGCAGGTCAGAATATTCTGGACCTCCCACAACGTAGAGTCCCAGTGGTCTGAGCTGGAAGGTTCTTCAAGAAGTGCACTCAGTGACCTTTTTTTATTAATTCTGGAATCCTCTCACATATTCCTCTTTTTTAATGGAAAAGCTGGCAGGGTCTGACACAGAGGTCTTTCTCTTTCTCTCACTGTGGTTCTATGAGGCCCATGAAGGAGCAGCAGGTCAGCTGCAGACTCTCCAGTCCTCTGTTTGGCTTGTGGGAGCAGCAGCTGCAGTTCAGGAAGTGTTAGGGGGAGAAAGGGGAAAGGAAAAGTCAGATGACAAATTATCTACCACCTACAGACTATGCAATAAGACCACTGGCAGTGCCAGGTGACTGGAGGCTGCTCACAGAGACTTAGTGTGTGCCACTCTATCATCCTGCCCCCCCAGGTGATATGTGCCATCTTTTAGTGTTCTCATCCAAGCTGCCTCAACCTTGTGGCTTGCAATTCCAGATGATGTTTTCCAGGTTTCTGCTGTGTTTTTATAAGTTATGATTGTTATATTAGAGAGAATACACACATGGTCATTTCTGCATCAGTATTTTCAGAAGGTTTGCTTTCACTCTGTTCCAACTATGTCATATAACAAATTTAGCTAAATTCATGATGAAAGCAAACAATCCATTTATTAAAAATTACTGGAACATGAAATTGCAGGGAATTTAAATCAGTAAGAAACGAAGAAGACTGCAATTGAAAGAAAGGTAGCATTGAACTCAGTGGAACTTCCTTCTGTTGAATAGTAAAGTAAGGTAAGGTAAGATAAAATAAAGTAAATTAAATTAAAGTACAGTGGTACCTTGGTACTCAGCTGCTTTGAAATTCATCAAATTTGGTACTCAATGCATTTTGACATGAAAATTTTGTCCTGGTACTCATTGTTTGTTTGGTACTCAACGCACAAGCTAGAACTTGGTGTTGACTGCCTTGTGATTCGCTACATTATTTCTTATGGGAAAAATTTGTTTGGTACTCATTGTTTTTAGTAGTCTTCGCGCTTCCTCGAACCAATTAGTTGGATAAGTGGCAAGGTGCCAAAGTCAAATCAAGTCAAGTCAAGTCAAGTGTGGGATGGAAATCTACAAATAAGTATTTAGATGTACATCTGCAGCAACTAAGGCAAATACAAAATCTAACATTAAAATGAATGTTAAAGAAAATTTGCCACCTCCAGTGTGGAATGCAGTAAGCCCTACGTTGAAGAAGGTGATTTAGTCTTTGACATAACTTCTCTCATGTCCCTTTATCAATGTCATGTTTGTTGTACAAATATAGAGGATGAGATATACAGATTACTCAGTAGAAGATGTGCCAACACTAGTCATGCTTTCCTCCTCTCCATATTAGTTATTATAGATGTGAAAATATAAGAAGTATTCTTGGTTTCCTTGAAACCAGGCCTATATTTTGGTTCAATAGCTTTGAATACATCATTTGGAAATAGTGTTTATATCAGCAATGCCACTAGCAAATGATTTAAAAAAAAATAAGAGATTTAACAAAATGAAACAGATCAAACATCAGGCAAACTTCAGAAGAAAACCAATTTTGAGTCAGTTCAGTCTGTTTTTCAAAGATTAGCAGACATACTGGGAAAATTTTTGGTCCTGTTATAATAGATGTAGCTATATCATTTTTCTAGGCAGGGAGATGCAGTTCCAAAATAAGCCCTTATCTGCAGTCACTCACCATTTTTATTTTCTATTCGCGATTTCAGGTCCAACTAGAACATACCAACTTCCCACTTTTAAAAAAGTAAATGTTATTTAAAAGACAGTAAAAAAATAAAACAAAAGCGAAGGTTTGTAAATACTAAAAATGGGTGTTTGTGACTTCTACAATACCTACCTCTGATACTGAACATCATCTGCTTTTGTTGTTTCTCCAGACCTTCAACTCAGTTGCATTCTCTTCCGACCCTTGACTATAAATTTATTCATGGCTCAGGGTTATTTTGAACATGCAAGGATTAATGCTTACATTCTCTAATCAACATATTACTTCATCTGTTCTGTTAATCATGACAGACTGCAGTAGGCCTCTTTGATAGTGCAGTTCAGATCCATCTTCTTCTGTTCACTGACAAGACTTCCCCACTGCACACTGAGAGGATTAACAAGTACCGTGAAGCAGCAGTAGCCTTTCAAGGCAAGGTAAGTCTGAAATAATCCTAGTCAATACCACAAAAGATTTTTGGAAGTGGTAATACTGCTTATATCAAATTTCATATACAAGTAGCCCTTGACTTACATCCACAGTTGGGCCCAAAATTTCTGTTGCTAAGTGAAACAATTGTTAAGTGAATTTTGCCCCATTTTACGACTGCCAACCGTCCCATTGTCAGGTACAATAAAAGAAACTCCTGGGACATTTTTCATTTTACCAAGAGTATAACTTTACTGACAGATCCATATAAGTACAGAAGAAGCAAAGCCAGTTCTAAGATTTTGGTGTGAAGCACAGCATAGTAAAACCCCCTTTTCCTTCCCCCAGGCCACGTAGTGTCCACTGTCCACCAATCCAGGTTAAGCATTTTGTTTTGGGAAAACAGTCTGCACTTTTCAAAAGTCTTCAGCATCTGACCTTGGGGTTGCAAGATTTTCTCAGGTTGCAAACAGCTCACATAAATTCCTTTTCTTCCTCCCAGCTCCCCACATATTCCAATCATAGCCATCCCCCCTCCCTTATCTTCTTTGTCAAGTTGCAAGCAGAAAGAAGTGCCTTGCAAGTCAACCTTGACATGCCGACCCTCCAGAAGATAGATAGGCCTAGGAAAGAGAACATACACAAATTTACATAACACATAAGCCCCTAACTCACACTCTATCTTTCTTACCACAGTTGTTAAGTGAATCACTGCAGTTATTAAGTTAGTTACATGGTTGTTAAGTGAATCTGGCTTCCTTGTTGACTTTACTTGTCAGAAGGTCACAAAAAGTGATCCTATGTTCCTGTGACACTGCAATCATCATAAATATGAATCAGTTGCCAAGCATCTGAATTTTGATCACATGGGAATGCTGCAACGGTCAGAAGTGTGAAAAGATGTCATAAGTCACTTTTTTCAGTGCCATTGTAACTTTGAACGGTCATTAAATGAAAGTTGTAAATGAAGGAATACAAAGGAGGAAAGCAGGAGGATTAAATGTGAAATATGTGTCAAATTAAGAATAACACAGAAAACTTTCAAAAATATATGTAACAAATGCATGGAAGTGGAAGGATCCAGTTTTAAGTGCACATTTCTTTCTCTTCCTCTCATTTCATATTATTAAATTAAATTATAGGCTTCATCATATTTTCAATATGATGATTTTCACACACACACATATATGCATATACATATATGTATACTAATACGTATACTGTAGGTACACACACACAAACACACACCCACACCTGTTATTTATGGTGAAACAGAATTTGTTCATTTTCCATAAAGTTATCAATGGGTAGGAAAGTTTTGTAAACACAGACGTGGAACATATGCTCCATCCACATACATTCTCTAGAGAAATCTGATGGAATGAAGAAGGTTCATTATTCAGCTGTTCCATTCCACCACTCAATGGCTCCATGCTACAATGATAACAGATTATTTTGTCAGCGAAAAGACAAGTTAATTGGGTCATTTTTGTTTAACATTGGTAGTCAACTGCAGCTGTAAAAATATTGCATATCTTATAGCACATTCAGGGTATACTTTTCTATGTTTCTGTTTCTTCGGCTTTTCTATTATACAGTATCTGGGGCATGTGACTATGCAAATAATTGTAACTTTACAGAATTTACAATTTACAAATCTTTTGTTGAACAACACAGTCCAATTCATCAAATGTGAGCCCATATATATTTTTTGAATTAATTAACATAGCAAATTAACATAGCAAATATATATATATATATATATATATATATATATATATATATATATATATATATATATATATATATTGATGCATAGAGCAATGTAAAGCTTATTAAAAGAGGGAATAATGGTAAAATAATATTACTGATATAAATATTTTTCTCATGGTGAAATCTGGCTTTTTTCAATAGTGGAATTTAGTCTACAATACTCTTTATGATTACTTATAAATAAAATTAATGAATAAACTTGCATCAGGTTTACACTTCTTTGGACAAATTTAGATGCCTTAGTAATTGGGTATAGAAAGACAGCTCTGGCAAAACATTATCATCCTTTAATTCCTCATCATTATAAATCTGTGTTATCATATTTATTTATTTATTTATTTATTTATTTATTTATGAGACTTATATACCGCTTTAAGTGCAAGCACTCTCTAAGCGGTGTATACCAGTAAGCAATGTATATATATATATATATATATATATATATTTACATTGCCCCCAACAATCTGGGTCCTCATTTTACCTACCTTGGAAGGATGGAAGGCTGAGTCAACCTTGAGCCGGTGAGATTTGAACCGCTCACCTGCTGAACACAGTCAGCTAAAGTGGCCTGCAGTACTGCACTCTAACTGCTGCGCCACCTCGGCTCATATTTATTTGCTCCATGAACTTTTTAAAATTATGTTTTTGTTCTTTCTTTGAAGGCTCTATTTATCCTGGTGGACATCAGTGTCAAAGGTAATGATCGCGTTCTGTCTTATTTCCACTTAAAGAAGTCCCAACTACCTGCCCTGGCTGCCTACTATACTGCAGACGAGGAGCAGAATGTGCAGCTTCTGGATGAAGTCTCTGTTGAGAAAATAACAGATTTTTGTAATGCCTTCTTGGAGAGAAAGGAAGGAGTGAGTGTACAGAATGAGTTTTTGCACACATGATTCCTTGACTAGTCAACAGCTTGCTGTTCCCTTGACATCATTCTGGTAATTTGGTGCTAGCTTTTCTCTCCCTGTCAACATCATTTCCAACTTTATGCCTGAAAAAACTGCAGAGTTTCAAAACATTTCTTCCTATCCTTGATACAATTTCTTTCTCCAATCTAGTGTTCTCTAAATGTATTTGGAGTTCATGCTCATCCATAAAAATGCTCACATAAAAAATGTTATCTCATTTAGCTGATGTGTTACCAAAGAACTGCTTTCTCCTTTTGAAAAGCTGTGCAATTCCATAACATTTAGAAATTTTCTATTGGTTATTAATCTTTAAATCTGAAACTCTAGAATTGGACTATGTAATACAAATTGGACTAGTGTGAATGATTATATTCAGTGTCTTATTTTTTCTCCTTTGCACAACTTGTTTTCCCAACCTTTGGAAATTCTGGGTTCTGGTGTTTTATGTTTATTTATGTGTTTCTAAGGATTGGAGAAAGGAAGCTTTAGACTCATGGAAAAATAGAGAACTGTGGTAAACTTTGTGTGTACAGATACTTCAGACCCTGGGCAATGTTTTGGATTTAATAGGCATAAATTTGGTTCACTTCTTTGACAGAAGCAATCTTAAGAATTAATTATAAACCTTAAAAACAAGACTTATTCTTGTAATGTAAAGAATCAGAAATGACATACACTTATTGTCAAAAGCCCTAATGCTCTCTGTTCCCTAAATTACCAGCTTGCCTACCACTGTCTCCCACCAAGGAATTGTGTTTTGTTAGAGGCAAAATACATCTATTGTGCATTTCTATTACAATGTCTCTATTATAAAAAACAGGTACATTTAGGAATCCACCTGCTTTAAGGAAAAGGTCTTAGGCTTAACTGTTTTGTAAAATATTTAGTTGTTGAGCAATAATTAGCTTACTCTTTTCAAACCTTCTTTTGCAGCCTGGTAGTTGATTCATGAGTACTAGTACTTCAGCATATCAGATGCCATGTGTCATACAAATGCTGTCATTGCACAGATTCTTAAGCTAAGAGTGTTAGCCAAAAAGGCAACAATCTGCTAATTAAGCACCTTAGGACCTCTCTCCACTATTAAGTACAAGTGCTCTCCATCAATTACTCAGTTGTCAGAAAACAATATTGGTATACAATATACAGTCCCTAATGCCACCATTGCCAATGATGTTATCCTAATTTTTTGTGTAACACTTTTGGAATGCAAAGTAACTAGTTTAATCCCCTGCCTGTGTCCTCCTCCATCTTCACAGTACATCAGCTAGCAAGAAAAATACCCACCAATGAGAAGAAATGGGGAGGATCTGAGTTCAAGGCTTTGTCTTCCTGAGGCTGCTTTGTCTGTTACTGTTTGATTCTTTGTAAGGTTTTTAAGTTACAGAACAGCAGCTGAAGAAGCTCATGCCCACTACTGTTCACCCGAATACCCTTCTCCTTGAATAAGTGGCAAAACACACCAGATTTTACTTACCTGCCATCTGTTGTTGTATGGTGTTGAAAAGGGGGGGGACTACTTTAATACCTGAACACTTAGAGACAACTTAACATGGGCTTACCAGAGGCTGGGAATGAAATGAGAATATCATGAGGATAATGGGAGAAATTGCTTTTATCAAGGAATATATAATTGAGTGATGATTAAGTACAGCAGAGCACATGCATATTTTCCAGCATTTGTCCATTTGTTTCAGCATTTGTCCATTTAAGATTAAGAAGTTCTAAACATAATCTTAGTTTCAGTAATATGTCTTTGAGTCCTAAAGAGGAGAAAACTCCCATGAAAGTTATATGTTCATTTCATAAGGAGAATTAATTTTTTAAAAACTCCACTTTTAAAGTATTAGACTTGGGCTTCAATATCCCATTTATGTATTACTCAAGAAATGAGGAAAATGTTTTGTTCCTGAAGGAGGCTGTTGGTCCAGTTAATGAAAGTTAATGCATAAAGTTCTACAAGTTTTTAGAGATGAGACTTTCCCAGTCCTACCTGATGATGATAGAAACTGAATCTGGGGCTTTTGAAATACATAACATCTATTTTGTTATTAAGCTACAAGAAGTGATCAGGAATTCATTTTCATGGTAAGGTGGTTTGATTTTCAGGATTACATTTTTCTGATTTGTGCAAGCGACATTGAGCTAACATTAAAAAAATAAATTGGAGGTGGAAGGGCTTAAGCTTAACTCCTTTGTCATATATTTTCTTTCGTGATTTGATGTGTTTCTCTTTATTCTGCTTTGTTTCAGGAAAAAACCTCTAAACCAGAGGACAAACTCTTCAGAGAGGAACTCTGAATTGTTTTCAGCTCCATAACAGAAATATGACAACTGCAATTACTGTAATCAACAGCAATCTAGGAAAATGTCTTCTCTGTATGAGGTTGCCATTTAAATCAGATTATGATTCTGTTCTGGAATCAATTTCCATAGAGGTGTTGACTGCTTTTTCAAGCTCTGTGTTCTTTCATTTTGATTTTGGAGATATTACACACTTTTTGCATTATATTCTGAATAAATTATATTATATGACTGAATAAATAAAATTGTGAGTTTGTATATTCTATATTGTGGGAATGTTAATATGCAATGGTAAAAATAGACAATAGCTTTCTACATAGTATTGAATATAGCTTGAACTAGGATTTCTGCTTGTATGCATTTATCTCATTTTTTTGCCTCTGATAAGCAGATTTTTCAGATTTTGCTTTGAGGAATATTTCTTTTTTAAGAAGGTGAAGAACTTTTACAGAAATTTCTCATGATGAGGAATCTTTTAAGATTTTCTTTTGTGTTAATATGAAATAAATGAATCAAAAAGATATTTCAATCAAATGAATAGGAAGTACAAAAGATAAAAATGTGGGAATGAGAAATATGAAAAAGGCAAAGAAACACCAGATAAGGAAGGCCATTGACAATCTTGTCATTATCAGAATGAAAAAGTTGGCTGAAAATATAATAGAAAATGCTAAATAGCAAAATAAAAAAAATGGGTAACAGGCTTTTGTTTTCTCATATCCATTGTGACGGGAGATGTTTGTTTTTATACATTGCTCTTAGAACAAGGGAAATCAGAGTCCCATAAAAGCACCTTCTTTGGAAATGTTATGTTGTAAATGGAAAGCCCTTTGCAAAAAAAGTTTGTCACTGGAACATTAAGCAGCATGTTCTGTTCCTTTAAATTGATTCATTCCATTGAAGCCTTGCCAAAGTGTTTGCCTCATGAATGGTTAGCCCTTTCTAGCCCAAATGTTTGCTATTGCCATCAAACAGTCACCACACTGTCTCTTTGAAAAGGGTTCAGCTTTAAGAGAACTGCTCAGAACTGCCAAATGTAGAAATCACAGAACAGCTCCTGTGTGAGATTGGCCAAAGAGCAGAGCTGAGAGTAAAAACTTTGTTTGTTCTCTTTATCTTCTTCAGCTACCATCTTTGAAGCCTGAAGTTTCCAAAATTAATGTATGATAATAATCCAGGTAAGGAAAATGGTTCTGAAGGAAAGCTTTGTCTTACCACATGAAGTTCTAGGACGAAAAAGAGATAATGAGGGGTCATAAAAGTAATCTTTTATATGCATTTGGTGTCTCATTTTTATTTTTATTTTTTTTCATCCCCAAACTTCGTTTTTCTACTCTTTGTTGAACTAATCAACAACCAGAATTGTTAAGCCAAAATTATGCTATTTTGGCAGAGCTGCATGAATCAAAGTGGTACAGCTGAGGATTGGATTGTTCGATGTTAGACCTGCGAAAGCAAATCTCTTGTAATTTGCCCTGAGCATCTAATCTGAAAAACACCCAGCAATAGACATAGGCACACATAGCAGTTGCATGCACTGTCACACACACCACATGCAAATCTGGTTCCCAAATGGATAAATAAAATATAGAAAATATCTCCACTTTTTAACTAGTAGGTTTTATTTGATTCTAATAATTTACTAATAAACACCAAGATTGATTGGGAGATTGATCAGAATCTATTGGTAGAATTGGTTGCTTAAAGAGTAATAAAATAATCCTTCTCCTCTTGGGAAGCAACAGTAAATTTTGATCTAGAAGGATTTTTTTTCCTTTGTGCATGGACTTATTTTTAAAATACTGCACACTCAGAATGTGTTGATTCCAAAAGTACAATTTTCACATCAGTTTCAAGTTTACCTATTTAAAAAGTAAGTAAGTCAACTTTCAAAACAGCTACAGAGATAGATGGAGGTCTCATACAGAGAGCTGTATTGTGTATAATGTGTTGGGATTGGCTGTTTTGCTTAAATTGATCTCTTCTCCCAGTGCCTTTCAGATGTGACTTGATTAAAGCCAATTTAGTATTAGGGTTGCTATGAAGATTTGTCCCCCATAAATCACTTTGATGCCTGCTTATTACAAGTTAGAGACTTTCACACGGCAGATATTACTATGCAACTGAAGTCTTTGGAGTAGACTTGCAGACTTCCTGCAGAGTAGCATTCTGCAGATAAATGATGCTCTTCCTTTCCTCTAGAAATTACCGTATCATTCAATTAGAGGAAAGAAAATTTGCTTTAGATATTCTATCAAAGGATAAATTTTTATGGTGGATTGTGACTTTCTTCTACATTATTTATTATCAGGTAGTTGAAGGCTGTGTTTGCATGGGCTGACTTTTATTATATAATCCTTTCTTCATGTCCTTTAAATCCGATTAAGAAGGCATTCATTTAGTTAGATTACTTCAGAAGTGGTGCTGTAGGAAATTCTACTCTTAAGAAATTGTTAAAGAATTTTTCCTTTCACCAGAGAAATTTCAAACCCCCTTCAACCACAAACACCTGAAAGAAAGGGCCATATGTATATGCAAAATTAATCCAACAATTTGGTGAACTCCTTCATTAATATAATGGTGTCTGCTGTGTGGGATATCTTCCACACTGAATCTAAAATTGTTTCCTTGATCTGAGGACTAGGTATTGAAAGAATCTTTAATATTTCATAGTTGCATAAAATACTTGCAATATTTATAAATAGGGAAATGGCTTGGCCAAAAGTACCTTGTAAGCAGTAGAGAAGAGCAGCATCCTAACAAAAGAAGGGATAGAACAGCTTTATTGATTAGCTTCTCACGTATAATAATGAAAATCACTTTTAGACATGCAAAGTAGAGGAAAAATAAAACAGACTGTAACAGGGCCTTGTGGCTATGCTTATGTTCTTGGAAGAAGACATATACACAGCACAATACTGCATTTCTACACAGATAATTATAAAGACAACTTTTTAAAGAAGCTTGTTGTACACACTGGTAAATTTAATCCAGCCTATTTTTTGTCTAGATGAGCTCATCTCAAACAGTAAACCCTTGAACCACAGTCTGACTAAGAAGGCCCCAATCCTCTTACATTGTCCATAACCAACTAGTACTAAAACATAGAAAGCTGTAATATGATGTCCTCAGAAGACCCTGGAATAATTCACTAGAAGATAGTGAATTCTTTAAGAATTTCAAAACTGCATTTTTGAGATATGAAATCAACATGTCTGGACACTTGGGCTGTGCATTCTTCAAAAATCAGACAAGTGATGAGGATCTTGTGCAAGCATAGCATCTCTCTGTTATTTCTCAAAGGAATCTAACCTTTTATTCAGGCTCCTGGATGAGACTGAAAAAAAAATAAAACGCTACTGTTTTAAGAAATTTACTTGTTAAGATTAAGACAACTCTTCAAAAGTAGAACTTGAAAGTAAGATAGAAGCCTGAAAAGATGTAGCAAGATAATTAATATGATACAACAAAGGTGCTTACTTTTAGAAATTGCTTCTATTTAAAATATATTTTTCAGCAATTTACAATCTTTTGAACTTACAATTTTTTCCACATTGCACTCTGAAGGAATTTTTTGAAATAGAAATTTCTGAACTCACTGAACATCACGCATGGTTTTCAGTCCTCATGTGATGAGTGATAAAGGGACATTGAATAATTGGATGATTGTTTATGATTATTTTTCTATGTCAAAAGAGTGATTGAGTGATTCCTTGATAATTTTAGAAACTGTACTAAGACAAAAGGTAGGATATTCTACTATCCTATTAAATCAAGGATGCATGAACACCAAATTTTTAGTTGAAAATGAATTGTATGCAAGTGATAATTGCTTAAATATAAAAGTGAAACAAGTAACATGAACATAAAAGATGCAATATTAACATGTTCTTGGAGATATTCAGTGACTTACCAGAATCTCATAGACACACAGGAAGAAACATTTCCTAAGTGTCATTATGTTGTCAAATAACAGATCCTTATTCTGCACCAGCAAGTAAAAATAAAACCTTAGCTACATAGCAATTATTTTTAAGGGAAAAAGTGACATAGACTGAAGAGAGTTTCCTACTGCATTAGCTTGTGCATGGTGTCACTTTGGTTAAATGCCAAAGCCTCATCATCCCACGCTTCTCCTTTTTGAAGACGTTTTGTGACAGGAGGAACACACTGTGAGACACATTTGTTTATTTATTTTTTTGGAATAAGGCAATAGTAAACCACTACTATATTTTCTACCAAGAAAAACACCTGGATAGAAAACATAAAATAACTGGCAATATACTATACCATGCCGGTTCCTTGGATCAGATGGCCCTCAAAATCCTACTGAGGAAAAGCTGATAATATTTTTGACTACTAATGATGTGGCTAAGTTAAAGCCTTTCAGACATCATGTTGATGATGTTCCATAAAAAGAAAAATCTAAAGCTGCAAAGACAAACTCAGTGGAAATACGGAATATAAGATGTATGAATGCAGAAAAATTCAACACGATGAAAGATGAAATAAAATGACTACAAACTGACACCTCAGTGAATTGGGATCACTGATGCAAATGAAGAGGAGGTGGATGGGTTTTATGACCAGGTTCAGTTTAAAATTGGCATAATATGCAAGCAAGATATGCCTCTTGTGAATGGTGACTGGAAATATTAAGAAGGAAAATGTTGGACTATGTAGTGTAGGAAACCAAAATGAGGCAGGAGAATGATTCATCAATTTCAGCCACTCTAGTGTTATGTTCATTGCTAACACTGTCTTCAAACAATCAAAATGTTGATTGTATTGAATATATAGATGTCTAATTGACTACATTATTGCTAAAACAAGATAGAGGAACTCAATTACAACATCAAAGAGATGACCAGGTGCTGACTGTGAAACAGATCATAAACTGCTTATATGCAAGTTCCAAGTTAAGCTAAAGCAGAAGAAAGCCAACCAGTTTCCACAATGTGTTCTTGAGCATATGCCCACCCTTTCAAGGAGAACATCATGAATCATTTTGATGTCCTTAACCTCATTAAAAATGAGAGGAATAGTGAAGTGAATTTAAATATGTTATCAAGCATGACTGTGAAAAGAAAATACTAAAAATGAAGAAACAGAAGAAATCAAACAAACCATAGTAATTGTCAAGAAGAGAATAGAAACCAAAGCCAAGAAAGACAGAAATCTCAAGAAGATACTTAACAATGAGTTTCAATAATGTATGTAAAGATATAGAAAATGGAATAGAAAA